TGGGAGGCATCCAGAACGAGAAGGAGACCATGCAAAGCCTGAACGACCGCCTGGCCTCTTACCTGGACAGAGTGAGGAGCCTGGAGACCGAGAACCGGAGGCTGGAGAGCAAAATCCGGGAGCACTTGGAGAAGAAGGGACCCCAGGTCAGAGACTGGAGCCATTACTTCAAGATCATCGAGGACCTGAGGGCTCAGGTAAGGGGTGGGAGGGACCTCAATTCCCAGTCTTGTCTGATCCTCAAATTACACACTCCTTTGCCTCTTTCCCTCATTCCGTATCCACCCCAACCCCTACTCCACCGGGAGGGGGTTGGGCATACGTGGATTTCCATCCACTCTCCTAGCCACAGTGTCCCCTAGAGCAGCAGCTAGGCATGGGAGGGCTCTTTCCCAGGAGAGAGGGGGAAGGGGACAGGGTTGAGAGCTTTACAGAAGAAGTGGACAGCATGGAGGGAGGTGAGGAAAGTCCCGTAAAGAGGAGACACTGGCTCTGGCGGAGTGGGGACTATTGGAGGGTTAAGCGGATGTGGCTAAAGCTGAGTCATCTCGGAGTAAACAGAAGGCCTTCCTTTGGGAGGAGCCAATCCAGGGTGTAGGGGGCCCAGAGTGACCAGGTGCACTAGGGAAAAAATGCCAGGAGAGGGCCAGAAAGAAGACTTGTGAGTAGCGGCTCACTTCTGGGCAGGCAGGCCAGCCAGCTAGCCAGCCTGCTGAGGCTTCCCAAGAAGGGCAGAGTGCTGGGATCTGGGAATCCAGAAAAGGAGGGAATGGGTGGGGCTAGATGAAAAGGGATAGGTGTCCAGGGAGAGTCTCTGGCTATTCCTGGGACCAGGAAGTTTTCACTAGGATACATAACACTTTCTACACACTCAGCCCACCCATCCCTGACTTTCTATTCATGGAGCAACCTCTCTCGACAATCCCCCTAGATCTTCGCAAATACTGTGGACAATGCCCGCATCGTTCTGCAGATTGACAATGCCCGTCTTGCTGCTGATGACTTTAGAGTCAAGTAAGTTGAGGGGGCTAGGGAGCTGAGGGTCCAGGGGTGGAGCTAAGAAGGGTCTGCTCCCCAGGCTGGGTCAGGTAGGGGCTCACAGTGGGATCCTGTTTAGGTGTGGGTGGATGAGAATCGGCATCCATCAGTGTATTCATTTATTCATTTGTATAACCTCGTTTAAGAATACTGTCCTCATGGCCGGGCACAGTGGCTCACGCCTGTAATCCCAGCACGTTGAGAGGCTGAGGTAGGCAGATCACCTGAGGTCGGGAGTTTGAGACCAGCCTGACCAACATGGAGAAACCCCGTCTCTACTAAAAATACAAAATTAGCCGGGCATGGTAGTGCATTCCTGTAATCCCAGCTACTTGGGAGGCTGAGACAGGAGAATCGCTTGGACCCGGGAGGCGGAGGTTGCAGTGAACCAAGATTGCGCCGTTGCACTCGAGCCTGGGCGACAAGAGCAAAACTCCATCTCAAAAAAAAAAGAATACTGTCCTCCAAGTGCCAAGAATGGTGCTCAGGGGATTACCACCTAATTGCTGACTCAAGTTGCTGGTTCGCAATGGGCATAGAACTGCTCTTAGTAGGTGGCACGAGTTGAGAAGGTTCTGGATCAGAGATAGTGGCCCCTCTGAACACCTCCACTCCTACAGGTATGAGACAGAGCTGGCCATGCGCCAGTCTGTGGAGAACGACATCCATGGGCTCCGCAAGGTCATTGA